GTTACCCTGTGTCCACACCTCCTAAAATTTACCTGCCGTTTCCTTAAACGAACAAATTTATTACCCCCGTTCCATGATTCTCTGAGTTAAATCTCTTTACCTTGTCTTCAAGACGCTATCTTAGAACGATTGAGACCATAGTTCAACCTTAAATCTAAGACCATAGTAAACCCTTCATAACCGTTTATTGTCATAACCCCCTCACTAGTAAAAAGCGCTAATATCTATTTCAAACTTACTTGATTACACCAACTCGACGGATCTCCCTCCCCACATTGTAGTATGTGCGTTAAAATCACCACACCATATTATTTCATTTTCTTGACAAAGTCTGTCTAATTCCTGATTTTGAGTTTATTACATGGATGGTAAAAATTGCTGACTGCTTCCACTATTGTTTTCAGTCTTGACCTCTTTTTTGTTTGTTGGGCAACATTCACCACTTTTCCAATAAAGGCCACACATGTGTACTTATTAACAATCAATGCATCCTCTCCTATCACACAGTTATGTGAACATATTGTGGAGCTTTCCTCTGCCTGTGGGAGTTTGGGAAAATATTTTGAAGAGAATATACTTGCTGGCTGCTACTTGGGATTTCCTAAGTTTTGTGATACCTGTTCTGTTGCTTCAGCATATGAGACTCTGTATCTCTGTACCTACTTGGCCTTTTTCTGCACTTTGCAGCCCTGATACGCAGCACTTTGTTCCCCACCACAGTTACAACATTTCACCTTAGCACCTGCAGCACAACAACCATATTCATGCTCTCCCGCACATTTTGGACACCTATGGTTTTTTGCTTTGCACTTGTCTGCCACATGCCCAAACCTTTGGCATTTAAAGCACCACAGAGGTTTAGGGATGAATTATCTTCTTCAAACTGAAGAAGAACAGACAAACTATCTACTAGCGTACCCTGACACCTAGTAGGAAGACGTTTAACTACAGACACTTTGCCCCCTTTCATTTATTTCTTGAGTTCTTCAATGCTGATTTCTAGTGGAACTCACTCCACGTATTTTCCGATTTGCTCCGGGAACATGCCATTTAATTCGAACTTCACTCACGGTCTTCATTTTCAGTAACTTTGCATTTTATCATTTTTCCCAACATACGTCCTTTGCTCAGAAATCTTGCTTGCATTATCGATCCAATTTATTTGTGAATCGCTTTAGTCAAGGCCACAGGGTGTAATTTAATTGCGGATTGTTCACCAAACTCCACAATCACTTTCCACTCTTCATTCTCATTCCTTTTCTTTGTTCTTTTCATTCCATTCTGCGAATCAGACTCACTGAGACCGTCACTTGACATGTCTATCTTCTTTCTTGAACTCTTTGTTCTTACTTCATTCCATCCTCCTTCTCCTTCAGATGCACTTCCCATATCCTACTCTCCAGGACTCAGACGCCATTCCACCAGCTGCTCTCAATCTCGCACTCACCGTCAATAGACACCAGCCCCAGCAGATCTACTCCAATCAAGCGTCTTCCACTGACCCACCATCTCTAGGCCCTGAACTCACCATCACCTAAAGTAGGTCAACTCCTCCCCCAGAGCCAATCTCTAATTAACTCAGGGGTATTTAAGACACCTGTTGCATCATGGCAATCTTTGGTTCGTTTGCTGCCTGCCTGTTGCCACCTTAAGGGTACATTTTCAGATGCTGGATGTCATGTTGGATCAGCAACTTAATATTCCTCATGTGCATCTTATATTAGCACTGAATTACATTCATTAGCTACTGTCAGCTTGTATCCTGGTCCACCCGGTCTTCCCTTGGCCAAGTGTGATGCCTGAAGTTCCTGTTAACCTGGAGGGATGTGTGTTGTTCCTCAGTACTTTAGTATTAATCATACTAAGTAGTGGTACGTTTATAATTACCTAAGTTAAAAGATTTAAATGTGTACTTCTGTATTGTAATCTAATGTACAATGTGTTTTCCTAGGTGGTATCAGCTGCTGTTTTGCTACAGTTAGGTTTTGCTTGAGTTAGGTTTTTGTTTGAGTTTTGTTTTGCTGTCTTATATTTAGGATTTTAGTGTATTTTGCTGTTAGTCGTTTGGACCAACTGGATAATTGTTTCTTCTGCTTTATACTCATTTGTGGTTTCTTTGCCCCTTGTAGTGGAGTTGGAGCCAGCTAGTAGTGGAGGCTATAGGCACACAGTCTGATTCCCTTCACGGCTTGTAGTGGTAGCACTGGGACACAGTTTGAAGTGAGTTTTGACTTGCAGTGACTTTTGGTTTGAAGTGAGCACCGGTGGTGGGTAAGGGACACAGCCCTGTTAGCCTGCCTCCCCCTGGCTGGCATCTGCCCACTCCCCTTTTCTCCTCATTGATGTTTAGTAATTTTCTATATAAAGTGTATTTACCAAGAATAAACAAATAAATGTGATTGACATTTTGAAATAAACTGTTGAACCACGTCTCTGTCTTGTGTCAGTCACAAACTTGTAGAGCCTTCTTATTTCTGAGGTGTAAATGAAACATCTCCTAGGGCGAAATTCCCCAAGTGGCGTTGTCAGGCATTTTGGTATTTGGGCGGCTCTGCCTTAAAAAACGACCAAACCGTCACAAAGACATTGAATGACTCCAACTCTTGTAAAGTTGAGAGATGGACGATAAATGTTGACAAGGTGTCAGATTACACGTCATACATTTCTCAGACAACGTGCCCCATGGTTTCTGTAAGAAAAGTATTTAATGATATACTCTCAATGGACCAAATGATTGATATGAGGACTAGACTCACTGATACATGTCGATGTTATAGGCAGTTGTCAATGGTTTCAGAGATGTTGCCTGTACTCCCACAATATGAAGCTATGTCTGGAGCACCGTCTACATTCCACCCTGTTACACATGAAGTAATGTATTTAAATGTAATAACACTTTGAGCCACTTACACTTTACTGTCTCTATTTTGCTAATGTAAATTACTTAACACTTTGAGTATACTTCAGTGGGAAATATATATATATATATATATATAAATATGCATTTTAATTTGACAGGTACAGTAAGGATACATTTTATGTATTTTTGATTGTTATTATTCGTTTTTTTTAAGCAAAGGACATAAAATGCAAATATGTCTTCTGGCACTTTTCTCGAAGGCTACTCATATTGTTGGACCTAAATAATTGTTAGACACCTCAACAGTTCAAAATCTACAGTATATTTGACAGGAAACCATGACGATTAGAGAAACAAGTGATGCTTTGGATGCTCTTCCCTCAATCTGATCCTGTACATGTGGCCCAAATCAGATTCATCTTGAAAGTTTTACGGTTCTAAGCCCCTGTGATCTTTTACTACACCTTTTTTACTATTAATAAAAAGGATTGCTAACATTTTTGCAAAGCATTGCAATCCCCTTGTAACCAAAACACCTTTAAAATTGATATTTTCTTTATGAACCGTTATCACATTAATGTTATTTAGTACAGACTAAAGTTGGATACATAAACCTACTGGTGTTTGCACTTCACCGGACTTAGAACATGAGATTGTAGATTAAAAGTGCTGCAGATGTTGAGGCTTGCATGGCTCACAATGGAGAGGGCTCACATTCTATTGTAGGAAACAGTATAACTAATTCCTTCATTTTTATTTTCCTTATTTCTCCTGCCAAACTGGGATGCACCCTGCTGCATGCTGCCCACCTGCACACGCCCCACTGCCCACCCGCACACCGCCCCACTGACTGCACCCAATTCAGCCTTTACCCAAATCGCTTGGTCTGGCCCCACCCATATGGGAACAGCTTTTGTCACAAGTAAAAAAAAAAAAAAACGTTTCAGATTTGCCTCCCTCCTTCCCTCCTCCCTTCTTCCCTCCTCCCTCCTCAGCATCAAGTGCAGCCTGAGCGCAGCGTCCCGGCCGCGAATCTCTCTCAGAGGCAGCAATGAGGAGGAGGGATCGTCGCCCTGCAGATACCGGGAGGATGCAGTAACACCCGTTTGTCTTCTAGTGGGATCATATTTGTATATTTCTCGGGAAAACAAACAATACGTTGCGGATTTGGCCTGTCCATCACTCGGATGCAAGCAGGTAGGAAGCTATTGTCATTTTGCAAAGTTATGGAGATCTGTTGAGCTGTGCTATTTATTAGTTTTTTATTATCTATGTATATGTTGTCATTCATTTCTATTGATTTATTTCTGTTTGGATTGTTTATTCTGTTTTTGTGGTGAACTTTAACGATTTATTTCTGAGACATCTAATCGGATTTTGCAGCCTAAGTGGTGCAAAAATATTCCTTATGTAAGGCTTTTAACAGTAATAGTATACTGATTTAACAGACTTTTTAAAATCCGTAAATCCGAAATAAAACAGTTTGCTATTTGTTTAAATAATGTTCTAATGCAAACACATTGTCCCACTTCTTTCCACTTGCATTCGCGATGTGTAACATATGCAGTTGTTCCTATTTTGTTACATTTAATTAAATATGTATAACTTAATGGGCTATTCATTTGCTTTACAATGAAAACTGTGATATTTGGGAATAAGGAAAGACTTACCTCAGATCTTGTGTCAAATATTTAGAATCTAAAAGTATTTTCTTCATGTTACTTAAAGTTTCAGGTTTCGTGCTTGTTACACTGAATTTAAACTCTATGCTTGAGATGTAGACGTGGTGAAAAAAAAGTTGAAATGAATGAAACAATCCTTTTTTATTAAACGTGATGTTTAACTAGACGATGAGCCAAGCTTACTGAGTTGGAGACGGACATTTGCTCCACAGCGCCATCCTTTGGTCACTTTTCCTTATGGGGGCCTCTGGCTCTTCCTGTGACTCCCCCAGCCGACGGATGCAGGGGGCAAAGCTTCCTCTTTCAGCTGACTGCAGTGGAAAATTGTTCAAATGAGCGCCTTCTGTGACCAAGACTCATCATGGCAGCATATCAGTTTCCCCTCTTTGCTGAATAATTGCAGGCTTTTCGTGTTTCTAAGTCATGCAGTGGGAGGTTGGAAGTTGAGCAGGGTCAATTCTTGTATTCTCATTTATTGACACGGTTTAACAGTTCTTGTGGGCTTGTTTTTTATGACCGTCTGTTTGGGGCTGGTTAGATGTCGGCCACTGGGTATGTTTTATTGGACACTGTGGTAAACTTAAGACAAATAGTCTCCTTGCAGTTGGAAGGCAATTCAGTTTCTGGCAGAACAACCTAAAAAGAAGAGGTTATTTTCAACAAAGAAAACTGGATTTGAGCTGTTTCTCTGATGATGCATTGATATGATGCTGTACATTCTTCCTGTCAGTTAAGTCTTTTGGAGCTTTGCCAAACCCAGCACAGTCTTGTGTCCACACTGCAATAACAATTAATTGAAAGAAAATGTGTGTCTGTGGACTTTCAAGCCAATATAGGATGCCCCCCCGATGGTTTGTCCTCCATCTGGACTCCCACAATGTCAACATGTCTGTCACACACCATTGAAGCCCCTCACACAGCCAGAATGTATGCGATCACTGTGGTTTTTCACTCTGGACTTCTGTAGGAAATGAACTGTTGGGTTTGCAGTCCGGCCGCAATGCTCCTCAATGATTGGCATCCAAATGATTTTCTCTACTTGAGTTTGGAATGGCCAGCGTGACTTCATCACCACAGCCATGCTGACGAAATGAAGCTGTCGTGATGGTCTGCTGAATCTATTCAAACTTGGCCAAATCAGAATTTTCCTTACAGGGTGTATCAGGATTATTGGCAACTTCACACACATACAGTAGAAGCATGAACCAGCAGGCTGTCCGCAGCCCACATCTATATGTTTAATGTTGTTTGTACGCATGACAAGGAATGGAGTGTAGCTAAGGAAACCAGATATGGTCATTACTGAAGGAGAAGGTTAACCATTGTGGCGAACCTCCAAGCCACTGTCTCAGGGTTCATCCTCTCCTTCCCTCTACCCGCAGCCTCCAGCATTTATTTTTCTGCAAACTTGAGTACTTTGAGGAACGCTCTTAAAAACCGGACTGTATTGAGACGCCCTAATGATAGTCTAGAGCTCTGGACCATGTGTCTCTAATATGTTGGACCATGCTGCCTCCATGTGGCCATACATGCATCTGTGTTTATATTGTCAAGGACCTGGATTGTAGACCTGGACATAGGACACAAAACCTTCTCAATTCAAGTCCACATGTTGGGTTTTTGTAAATCGTATTAAAGATTCCAAACGAGATCATCTGTTTGTCATCTCACTGACTAAGCAGAGGCAATTATTACTTCAGCAAGTATCACAAACTGAATGAAAAACCTTTTGCAATGTTGCAGATAGGTGGTTGCTATACTGATACCCTAGTGTTCTCCGGAACAGAGGGGTGCAGCTTTAACAAGCAGACCTCTAAACTTACGCTCCAAAAGCCGTTTAGGACAGAGAGTGAATACACATTCTATACAGAGATGCTGTTTGAGAAACCAATGTGAGTTTGGAACATTGAACAATTTAAATCTATTCTAGTAGACCTCAACAATGGAATTATGATCAGTAGAAATGGCCATGTCATGGGACCTTTAAAAGGCGGGGTGATTATATGCTGTTTTGTTCAAATTGTCATGTTATTGCTTGGATTACATCATCAAGGTTAAGGCTCTGATGACAGCACCAGAGGAAAAAAGTCATGAAATCACTAAACTGATTACGATTTATCCAGAGGGGCACATGAATGTTTGTACCAGTGTGTACAAATCTGAGTATCTAATGGTTATCGAGAAATTCCAGTCAAAAAACACGAGTGTCAACCTCATAGTGGGGCTTGAGGAAATGTCATAGGACTATTAGGGTTCATCTTCTGGCAGTAATGAATGTCTGTACCAAATTAAATGGTATTCCATCTGGTACATATGGATCTATTTAGAATGATAAGTCAACATGTTGACCTCTTTGTTACGATAGACTAGAAGTTAAGGCTTCACTTAAGTCAGTAAGATTCATCCTCTGAGCAGCATAAATATCTCTACTGAATGTAAAGGCAGTCAATCCAATAGATGTCAAGACGTCTCACTAAAAAATAAAAATGTGATTCATTTAGGTGCAAGAGGAAAAATCAGGGTACCATTTAAATTTAGGAAATATTAATTGTCTTTACAACACATAAATATGTCTGGACAATTAATTGAGATACATTTTTTACGACCCAAGTGGTTGACCAACTGACATTGCTATTCCAAGTTACACAACAACTATGAATCTTGTTTCTTTTAACTTCTTCTACAAAGTGTCCTTATGTCTTCCTCTTTTCTCTTCATTTTTTTAGATCCCGCCCCAACTTAACAATGGGCCCCATTCCCCTGTGTGTGCTGCTCCCAGTGACGGTGCTGGCTGTGGTGCTGGCTGTAGCTGCTGAGGAGAATGCAGTTGACGACGAGTATACCTGGCCACAATGGAAGGTGCCTCTGGTAAGGCAAAGACACACTGTCCCTCTAAGCAGTCCAAACTTTTCAGCGCATCCTCAGGCGCAGCTGAGCGGGACCTGTGGGATCGAGTGTCAGCGTCGCCTTCCTGCCTCCTCTCTGGATGACCTGGAGCAGTTCCTGTCCTACGAGACAGTCTATGAGAATGGTACGCGCACGTTTACCTCAGTTTCTGTGCAGGGCCTGAATGAGGTTGCTTCCTTGTCCCAAAACGTCTCATCTAGGTCCCGGCAAAAACGCGAGGTGTACGGCACTGATACCCGCTTCACCATCTCTGATAAGCAGTTCTCCACCAAATATCCCTTCTCCACCTCTGTGAAGATCTCCACAGGATGTTCTGGGGTTCTTGTGTCGCCTAAACATGTTCTGACTGCTGCCCACTGCATACATGACGGGAAGGACTATCTAGATGGGGTGCAGAAGCTGCGGGTCGGTATTCTAAAGGAGAAGTCCAGACGAGGGAAGGGAGGAAAAGGTAGAGGAGGGCGGGGAAAGGGCAAAAGGAGAAAGGGAGACAAAGATGAAGAGGAAGCGCAAGAGAAGGAAGGGGACGATGGTAAAGGAGACCGTAAAGGAAAAGGGAAAGGAAGAAAGAGCCGCAGTCGACGAAGTGCAGAATCGGGGAAACCTTCCTTCAGGTGGACGGGGGTCAAGAAGACCCAGGTGCCTAAGGGCTGGTTCAAAGGTGTGTCTGAAGGACTTACTGCAGATTATGACTATGCTGTTTTGGAGCTGAAGAAAGCACCTAAAGTCAAGTACATGGATCTGGGAGTTATCCCCTCTGTGAAGAAGCTTCCTGCTGGGAGGATCCACTTCTCTGGCTTCGATGATGACCGTCCTGGAAACCTGGTGTACCGATTCTGCTCCGTCTCTGATGAGTCAAAGGATTTGTTGTACCAATACTGCGATGCCAAACCGGGCTCCAGTGGCTCCGGAATCTACATCCGTCTCAAAGAGCCAGGCAAGAAGAAGTGGACGAGGAAGATCATCGGGGTTTTCTCTGGGCACCAGTGGGTCGATGTTAACGGGAACGGGATGCAGCAGGATTACAACGTGGCGGTCAGGATAACACCCCTCAAATATGCCCAGATCTGCTACTGGATCCATGGGGACTCAAGTCTGTGCAAGGTAGCTTAGAAATACAAAGGATCCCCCCTGGACCACCAGTCCTCTCCCATTCCACCTCTATGCTAAAGGCACCCTCCCCACTCTCCAACCAGGGGCCCTGACGACTGCCTCTCCCAATCCTGCCTCCCAGTGACTCCTGTTACACAGATCTACTGTAAGATCACACAAACAACCCACATTCAGCCATACAGACTCAGTGTTGACAACAACAGGAATTTGTCTTCGTCAAGAGAATTGTGGCTGGTCAGCTTTTCTAATTTATTTGCTAAGAAAATGGAGAAAAAAATATGTATTATGTGTATTTTGCTGTTTTGCTTTCTATTTGGATTGTTTTGTTCTAGGATTTGACCTTTTTGGATACAATGTTGTAAAGGTAGTGTAGCTCATTAACATTTGATGTTAATGAGCGAAGGCCCTGGTACATTTATTCTATTCAAACTATACTTTTTATGAAGAACATTTCCAAGTGTTCTCCACCACTGTAAAGAAGAGCGCGTGCATTGGCTTTGACAAAAGACCCAGAAGAAATTAAAGTAACTTTTGTTTCGCAAATGAACTATATAAAGACAACATTTTTTATACACATTTTAATTGAACAAACTGGTGTTTTGCATTTTGTAGATCTAGAACTTTTTTTTTTTAAAACTACCTTTAAAAAAAAAAAAAGAAAGAAAAAGATTGTTTGTCTAAATAGAGAAAGGGTCATTATGGATCCTGGATAGATTTCTTATCTGATTAGTGAATCACACCATCTTTTCTCTGTACTTGCAACACAGTGAAATGGGGTTTCATTGTTGTGCACATAATTATACTGGTGCTTATCCAGAAAACGTGGTGCTAATTTATGAAACTGTAAACTCTATTGGGGGGGCGAGGGTGGGGATTTTTCAGAATATATTTTGATAGCCTAGTGCAGTTACTATGTATTTTATGTGAGGCTACATATGTGGGTTTTTTTAAGATGGGAATGAACCATGTAATGATATACTTGAGCTGTTGATATTTCTCTAATTCTATTGGTTAATAAGATTACAAAGGCAATGTTGCTATATAATAACAAATGAAATCTGGGATGTAATGTTTTTTACTTTTTTGTTGTTTCTGTCCAAAAATTATTCGTATCCTTTTGAATACCAAACACCTGATATTAATGATGCGGATTGATGACTACCAACCATTAAATCAAGATTACTACTTGTGTGTGTGTTTGTGTTTGTGATGATCCTCAATACGAAAGATCAGATTAATATTTTTGTGGAATGGGAAAACTGACGCTCACAGTGATGAACCCAAAGGAATCACCCGACTGTAGTTCCCCCGGCTTTTAGCCACTTTACTAATCTGGTAATGTTGATGTGGTGGGATGTATATTCATGAAATAGTCCTTTAATCTAACCTTTCTCTATTTTACATTATATGGAATAAATAAATCCTTCACGGGCAGTTCAATCCATCATTGAATTTATTGCACCTCAAAAGGCTTACATGCACTGGGGTGGGCCATAGTAAATAAAATAAATGTACAACTGAACAAAAATACAATTTCATGAAAAATGTTAATAATCTTCCGTTATTTTCTCTGAATCATATCAGATGCTCACAACCAATTGCTTATTCGTCCACTGAAAAGACAACACACAGAGTAAGCATTACATCGGACTGGTTTACAGCTGTCCATATCAACATATTTACTACATTGTAAGAGGGGAAAAGAAAAGAGGGGCTTGTTTAATGATGCTAATGGCTGAACAGATCTGTGGATTTCCGCATCACGCTTGTGTTGTGACTAACACTATCAACTGTTTTAATTGAAAATGGGCCAAAGGTCAGAAGTGATTGAATAAAACAACTTGGACGTTAATAATGTTCTGTCCAATTTTTGCAAATCTTAGAAGATTTTGACATTTTTGAATGCCGTTTTCAAACACGTCAGGTGTAAGTTTGTTCATTCATCACATCTGTTAGGTCCAAAAGCCAATTTGGTGAGAAACAATGACTGTAAACAGAACTTTGATTCAAAAGAAAATCCTCAGGGTTCCAGAGTTGGGTTTGGCATTGGATCATCTTACATTAAATACAACAATAATCATACTGACCTGGTCATAGTTATAATGAAAGCACCGGCAACAGATATATCCAGATAGGTAATGTCAAACTGCAGGAAAAAATTGTAGTTATTTGAGTCTGTGACGAAGTACTAAAGCATTTTCTCTGGAAGTAAATTGTAAGATATGTTCATTAATAGTAATGCAAGAACAATATGGACAGTAGTATGGAGAATTATTCTAACAGAAACAGATCATATAAATAACATTAGACAAGAAGACAAATAAATAAACATAGAAAAATAAGCCACGACTAAAAAAAACGAAACCCACAGAAAGGATCACTTGGTCTGGTATGATTCAGAAGCCCATATAAGTTGTCTTAATATACAGAATATTAATCATATAGAGGTATTTGTTTCCAAATACTTTCAAAAGATGACAGGAAATAGAAGGTTACTCACACGACTTACAATTTCATGTCAGAATCACATTTATATTTCTCTTCAACAGACGTACAGAATAGAGACGTAATCCTCGCCAGAGAGATCTATGTACATCAGTGAGGAATTTTCTGTAAACAACACACAACATGTTTCTCCGAAAAATCTTTCGGGGCTTTGTTCGTCGCTCTCATCCAATCAGAGGGGGACAAAGAAGAGCTCCTCCCCCTTTATAATGAGGCTGGGACACATATGGGGTGGTAGGAGGGGCTTAGGACACCAAAGCACATCCAGCATTCAACTCAACACCAGAAAGAAATTCAAACACATACGCCTTCACTTTCTTTCACTCACTTTTGAGGACTTTTTTTTGTCTGGGTTTTGAGTGATTTTGTTTAGACAAAAGATAAGAACGTCTACATAATCACACGCTTGTATTTTTTTTCTCATATATATATAATCGGCTATGGTTCACTTTCACAGTTTGTGCTACAACATCACACAGGAAAAGGGTGGGGTGTAGATGGTTGGGGTGGAGAAAAGAGGCTCTTATAAGGTTGAGTAGCTGAACATTCTGAGATGTTGACAGACACCAGGTAAAAGTTGAGAGGGCCCTGCTCCAGAGAAGAAAGCAGCTTGAAGAAAGGAAACAGAGAAGCAGGTGTCAGGTCAAAAGTGAAAAGCATATAGACAATCATTTGATTTTTTAAATGTTTGTATAATATACAAACATTTAAAAAATCAAATGATTGTCTATATGCATCTAATATAGACATCTAAAGTCATGTAAACACAGCATCAGTGTTCATATGACTTTAGATGCATGCATGTCAAAATGCTGCCAAAATACATATTATTACTTTTACCTGCAGAGCTATTTATCAATCTAAAATGTCCTGGTTTGATTTGCCTTCTCTCAAATAAAATGGAACTAAATATCACACTACATGGCACACAGAATATCAAACTACACCAGATAACTGTTTCAGTGCACAGAAGCAATCGTGTATCGATTCATGGCAAAAGGCTTGTGCAGAATAATGCTAGCTCACCTGAGCTAGCTAAGGTTAAAGCCCATCGGGCTGTCACAAGCACTGCGCTCTCGTTTATTAGTGGATGCATGCTTCCCACTGTGCAGTGATCTGGTAAAGTAAATATTCCCAAAGTGAAATTGCTCACAAGGTCTGATGATTATCTTGAGTGACCAGGCCATGGCCTCTGGGAAGCTGTTTTTAAAATGTATTTTTGGCACTTTGAGGATCTGAAGCCGAGAGCCATCTTATTCCATTATACATACAGTAGCAACTCACTGTCGCTTTTAAAAGCATTGATTAGTAACCAATGATCCATTAAAAGAGACTACTTTAAATATTCCTAAGTGTGTAATAAGGGGCATTTTGCAAAAAGTCACTGAACTTCATTTTTACATAATTGAAAAAGACGCCAGTTGGAACAGCTGAACCCAACCATATGCTTTTTTGTTTTTTATTAGGGAACTCTTACTTATTCACTTTTACATATTATCTGTTATTTGTGGATAAGCCAATCCCAAAAAAGAAATCACCAAAGTTTTTTAATAAATGTTTAACGATTTAACGAAGTTGTCAGCGACTATACTCTATATGTGCAGTTACATATATAGTGCATACCTGGGGTGTTATAAGAAGTCTTTGAGGTCGAGATCTGCCAAAGGGTCCTTGGGCTTTTTGGGACTCTGGCTTAGAAGTGGAATCTGAGAAAAAGTCACGAAATTAAATTGGTGGATCTTTTAACAATACAATTAATATTCCTCACACAGACTATAAATGGTTAGATTATTCCAAAATCATAATTGCTTTTAAAGTATGTGTAGACACACCAGGGGATTTACTATGTTCTTACCGGTGCTCCTGGTGCAGCTCCCGCCCCCCCAGCATAGGGAGGTCTCATCATAGGCTGTCCCATCATAGGCTGCCCCATCATCGGCTGCATCATGGGAGCGCCAGGCCCTCCTGCAGGAGCCTAATAACACAGGGATTACAAATGAGAGATTTTTGAAGGCAATGTCAGTGAATCATCTGCCTTCACAAAGGTTTCTATGGTTTATGCAGTAAGGCTGTTTTAAAAGCTGAACTCACAGTGAAATCCACAGACTTTGTTATGAATGATTTAAAGCTCACCATGCCAAAGCCAGGCTGTGCGCTCATTGGTGGGACCATGGAGGCTCCTGGAGCCCCGGGACCTCCGGGGGCGGTACCTCCCTACAGTGACAGGACAAAGAGGGTACATCAGCAAAACTGCCTTTGAGATGAAATGTGATGTCACAGTGAGGGACGCGGTGTACATGCAGATCTTACCATGGGGGCTCCTGGTGTACCCCAGCTTGTGGGAGCTACATGTGGCATCCAGTTGGCTCCTCCTGTCAGCTTCTTCTCACTCTGTGGGTCCCTAAAGGAGATCAGGGTACACTTCAGGCTTACTGTGCTATTGATCCCATTATACTGCTGATGCTTGGAGTGCTGCATTTATAACATGTATATATTGAAATACACACTTACTTCTTCTTTACTCCAAGGTCTGGACAGAAGAAGAAAAACAGGACAGGTTAGATCTAAAAACACAAATTATGAAGTTACAGAAGAAAATGGTTATAAGTAGCTGTCTACCTCCAATAAGGTTGGCCAATGAGGAGTCCAGGTCTCCTCCAACAGTTTTAGAAGGGGGTGGGGTGGGAGGGGGTGCGGCTGCAATGCCTCCCACTGCAACTGGAGTTCCCATGCTTCCTGCTATGCTTCCAGCAGTGCTGCCCCCGGTGCTCTGGGGCGTAATGGCGGGCATCAGCAAGTCGCCTAATCCACCAAACACTTGAGGAGAGGGTGGGAATGGCAGGACATCAGAGAAACAACACAGACTACAAATCTTCAAACCTCCAATCTGTTTTTTAACACGGGTAGATGGGAGACCAGGTAGTAAGTAGTCAGCCCAGCTGTGACAGCATCAGTAGTCAGCTGTGGATCACATGCACAATGTAGGATTGTACTGTAAATATATTTGAGAATCACATATCAGGAAGTTAAACACTGACTTGAAATAAACTACTGGTTTTGAACCAGGTGTCATCAAGACCAAAAGAGTCTACAGGTTTTCATTCAAACTAACCTGTAGAGAAGCATTGTGTTGATTGAGGGTTTACCCATAACCCCATTCAGCTAACTACTTACACATTTAATTTATGCTAATTATTAAATTACACAATACATTTAGCTAACCATTTCAATGGTTTATCACAGGTTTTAGCTAACTTTTTGACCATTTATGCACTCTTTTTAGATAAATATTTAATATGTTCCTTTCATTTTAGCTAACTATTTGGTCAATTTAACCATTAAGCTAACTATTTCAAAAAGACAATATCTTCCTAATTATTTGCTAAGCTTTTCATTAGTTTAACCATTACTTTTAGCTAACTTTTTCATCCATTTACTTTTTATTTAGCTAACGATTTCAGCTAGGCTATCTAAGCTAGACCTTACTTAAGCTAACTATTTCATGATTATCCAATGCTTTTATCTAACCATTTCCACTGTTGAAATACATCGTTTTATGCTACATTGTGCTAAACCTTTAGCTTTGTTAACTATTTAAACATTACTTTCCCAACAATATGCATTACTTTAAGCTAACTTACGAAAGGCCATTTTACTTTCAGCTTGCTTTTTCATCCTTTTACTTGTTTAGCTAATTATTTCAGCCAGGCTATGTAGGCTATCCATAACTTTATCTAACTATTCCAACTGTTTAAATCCATTGTTTCAAGCAAAATGTTTGCTAAACTTTTGGCTATTTTAACTATTTAAACATGTATTTACCTATCATCTGTAGTCATCTTTCTATGTACCATAAGGGGTGAATAAAGGTTGTCAAAACAATTCATCTTTGCCACTCAAAATAATAAAATATAAAACCTGCAGACTCAGGCCTTGATGGCATGTGGTTATAAGAGACAAGAGACACTGCTCAAAGGGGAAATACAAAATAGACTAAATCTTGTCTCATGCAGAAGACAGTCAGGGTAATTGTTACATGCAACGATGCAGAAGGGGAGAATTGTCCAAACTGCACATGCTGCAATTCCCTGCCGGGTAGAACTCACCAATTACAGATTAGAAGAAGCAAGCAATGACCCAGAAGAGAAGAAAAGGTGTGGATACGGGGTGAAACAGGAAATTAAATGAAGCAGAAGACAAAATGTGTGCAAGAACGAAAGATTGCAGAGTGGGTGGAGCAGAGAGTGAAGAACTTGTGAAAGTGTGAAAAGTACAATATAAGCGATTAAGAAAAATAAAGAAAATTCCTTGCAATGCTAGGCTTCAGCGCTGTGGAATGCTAAGCAGTCAGCAGAAACAAACGTTCTCCGTAAGGAGGACAGTGAAAGCAGCACATGTCAAGGTGTCTTCATGCAGTACTCAGGCTCTCAGAAAGAGGGGATAAGTAGGTAATGGTTAAGGTACAGTAGCTCAGTTTCAATGACTCAAAACAGATTAATGTGCATCAAGCAGATAACCTGCAGATTCATGAACCAAACACTCTTTATATTCTCAAATAAATGGATGTAAAAATGCGAAAGATTTCTGAAATGAAAAGAACGCAAATGAAAGCTTTACTTACTTGATGCGTCAAAGCCACCAGAGGGCCCTGGTGTGGTGGTTGCTGCTACTATCGGTACTGCAGCAGGGGCAGGCGGTGTCGGAGAAGTTAGGGAGCCAAGAGCATCAAAGCC